CACACTTGTACCAAAATAAGCCCTCATAGCTACTGAGATATTCAGAGAAGATAATAGTCCAAGGGGATGCTTTTTTACTGATTGAGGTCTAAGATCTACACATAGTACTGTAAAGACAGGGCAAGTGAGGCATGAACAGGGAGACTAGAGTCTGAGTATCTGAAAACACTGACAAAGAAAATAAAAAATTCTGAATTCCTCAGAGTGGTAAACATGTAGGAAATATTTAACTTGTAGGATTATTTTTTATTCCTATTTCTTGGATTTTTATGCCTCTCTGTCTCCTGAATAGTGAGCACGCTACCTAGCAAAGTTCTGCTTTGGATATGCAAGATCACTGGATCATCTCTTCAGCTGTAGTGTCTCCTATAGCTGAGCTACTGGGACTACACAATGGAAAGCTACCGTGCCTGGTTCCACCTGCCTTTTTGTCCCCACTCTCTTCCTTACACCTCAATAATCTTTGTGGTTTACTGAGACTTTATTTATTGTTTTTAAATAAGGTGGTTAAACTCTATGTGTCTATCCACCCTCAAAATCTGCCACGTTTCCTGGGGTAAATTTCTGCTGCATTCCATCTGGGACTAGCACAGCCCACAAGGTAGGACAGCTCAGCCAGGAGTGGGATGAAAGACTCGTTCCTTCTGGTGGTAGCCAGTCATTCAGTCAGCTGAGCAATGTGTGAGCTAGTGCCAGATCAGCATCTCATGAAACCCTTCCATGAGAAGGGGTATTACGCAGAGCTTATGTTCCTCAGGAATGAGTCTCAAAACTCAGAGATGCTCTTCTAAATGCCATTTATGCTCAACAGATTAAAACATAGCAGCTTGAGGGACAAAAAGCAACAGTAGCTCAAGAAAGCCTATGGAGGGAATAGGGGCTAGTACCTCAAATTCTGGGATGCTTCAGAACAACAAGGAGTTATACAGCAGACAGCAACACCTACAGTTATACATCTATACAGCAGTAGCACAGAAATGGCAGAAGAATCACAGAATGGTTTGGGTTGGAAGAGAAGTTTCAAGATCATCTAGTTCCAACACACCTGCCATTGGCAGGGACCCCTTACACTAGGATCAGGGTGCTCAAAGCCTCCTCCAAACTGGCCTTGAACAGTTCTAGGGAAGGGGCTTCCACAGCTTCTCTGGGAATCCTGTTTCTGTGTCTCATCATCCTTATTGAAAGAAATTTCTTCCTTATATCTAATCTACCCTCTTTGTCCTGTCACTACAGACCCTGGTAAAAAGTCTCTTCATCTTTCTTATGAGCCCCCTGTTATATACTGAAAGGCTATTTATACATTGGTTTATGTTCCTGAATTAACTTCTAAAATGAAGAAGAAAATTGGAAAGATTTAGAGTTTTAAGACCTTATCATGCAGTCTGAGTACCCATTCTGTTCAAGATGACATTATGCATCCTATTTTGAGCCCTAGCGAGCTTCTCAGAAGTGGTCTTGCTCATACCATTTTTATACTTCCATCTCTCATCATTCTGTGTCACTTTGCAGCCCAATCTGATTCATGCTTCTAAATTAAAAGTAATAATAGTGAACTTGGAAAACTCAAGGGTATGATTTTCTACAAGTTAGCGAGCCGAACTGGACCCAGCGAAGCCGATAGTAAGTTCCAGAGCAAACAAGAAGGATCACCAGATATAGGATTGAAGCAGTGGGACAGAGAAGAATCACCTACCCCTTAAGTACTTATATTAAATTGTTAGATTAAATCAGTCTTAATGGGTAACTTCCACTCTGGACTAGATTAATTTGGTTTAAGTGCTCACAAAAGCAAAATGACAAGTTAAAGTCCTGATTTAGCAAAAAACCTTTAAAGAGCATGATTTGACTTGCATACATGATTAAAAATACAGCTTTTAAAAATGGGGGTTTGTTCTAATGATTTCTTCTAAAACTTGGATAGGTTTGCTTGTGAAAATTTACTACATGCATTTATTTATGGTTAGTTTGTGGAAGTTAAATTTAAAATTTATAAGAAACTAGCATTAATGGGCAACACTTGGAAGTCACAGTTTCTCTATTACTCCCTGTAGTAAGAAATTTGCTTTATGTATGTACAAATTTTTCTTTAGAATTTATGTTCCAATATTTTAAAGCTTCCATGGTTGTCTGTCAATTAGCTTTTTGGTCTGAATTTCATGACTTTTAAAATTGTATATGTTTTCTATTATCACAGCCAATTAAGAATTCCCATCATTACCTTTCTGTACAACTGATGTCTTCAGTAAAATTAGTTGTAAAACACAATCTTCCCATTTACATTTGTCACCTCACATTTTGAAATATAATCTAAAACCATAGGGAGTTCATTCCCTGACAATGTAAAGGAGTGTTCCAACTTTGCTCCTGAGCTTCCTGCCAGTGAGCATCGGTACATACTTCTAAGATCAATTGTATGTTGCCATAAATGACTTCCAGATCTAGCTAAAAGAAAAAAGTAATACAGTAACTAAGCCCCCTTTGCACATCAAAAGACTAACTTCCCTCTCTTCCTCTGTCTCTGATGGAGATTCAAAGATTACCATCTAACAGAAAGAAAACACTAATAATAGTATTACGACACCAATTCTCTAACAGCATTTACAAGATGACCAGCAATAGCAATTTAGTTTAACTTACAAAATAAGTTCTTGCAATAGTACAGTCAAACAAACCCTCTAATGCACATTTCTCTATGGAAATTCTAATCTCGTCAGCTGAGAACTATCTGTTTTCTAACTACACATTTGCACCATAAACTCTCACTTTAATTAAGAAAATAAAATACTCTGACTCCCACATCATTTATTTACTCATTTCCAAATGAGTCCTCCTGCACCTCAGCATTCACATTATTAAAACAAATGCACTATTCCCAAAACACAGGTCTGAAATGATGGCCCGCACATATCCTCGCAAAGAAATAACTTGGAACTCAAAATCCTCAAACCAAACAAAAGGATTTGTATAACTTCAGCGTTAACTCAATATTTGAAAGTAGTAGATGCTGACCATACTACTCCCTTACTCTAGCAAAATATTTAAGAGTCTGCTGCACTTTAAAGTGTGCAAGCATTCTTACTGAGGTTAATGGCATTCTAAAAATATTGCTAGTTACAGGCTGCAGTACTCCAACCTCACGCAGAACCCCTGCTGTCCACTGCAGATCATTCCTTTCCTACTATAACACTATAGGGACCCATTTACTAAAGCACGGTGCACTGTTAAAACTGGCAAGCTCCCTTTCTGCATCAGGTATCCAGGTTTAAAACTCTCACAAACTCACTGCTCCGTGTTACAGAGCATCATTTACAAATTTTGCTCCTGTTGATAGGAAGAGAGGAGTTATTAAAGTGCAGCTGAAAAGGAGGCTCTTGTAATAAACGTGGCACAAAATTGTGGTTGTTGCGAGACCAGTAAGTCTCAGCATCGCTTGTCCGTGATCCCCGCTTTACGCTGCTTTTCTCAAGGGCTTCCACATGCATTCTAGGCAGTATGAAATGGAACAGTTTTGGAACCTATGGCAGAATTGTGTCATCCTTCAGTTATGGAAGAAGACCCTACTTATAGCTTGACACATCTGAGTGGGAGACCATAAGCGCACGTGGACTGAAGTTGGAGGTGTTCAAGCCTGTTTTATCTTCTTCTGCCTAGAGGTACTTTACACAGCTCAGAACTCTGCAGGGAGAAATCTCCCCACCACACCTCATTTACTTCATTGGCAAGGACAGACGAACCGGCTCAGCTAATTTTAAACCACAGAGCTCTACAAGCAGTGCAAGTTAGGCATTTGGCATCAACCAGCAATTGAGTATTATTATCTGTGGTGAACTCGGCTGAATTCAGAAGACTGCACCTGTCCCTGTATTAATTTAAAAGGATCTTTAGAGGTGAAATGTGGCAAATCTGGGTAATTTAAAAGTTAGCTGTAACCACTACAGAGCATGGCCCTGGCCATTCCTCACCATCATCCATGTGAAGGGGTGGGATAGAGAAGACTTGTTTAAAATAAGGCTGAATTTAAAGAAGAAACTAACCATCTCCTTGGAAAACTGCGTAGGTATTGGCAGCCTAGATTCAGGCACTGCACCACTGAAGAGACTACCATAAAGCAAATAACATATTTCAGCACGAATCTAGAGGTGGGAAGGAGTATCACAGTGGTCGCCCACATGTCACAGTGATCATGCCAGAGCTGCTGTCGTGAGTTTCACGTTTTAAGGTTGTGACCTGACTGCACAGCTTGTACTCACGCAGGGATGTGGGGCTGGCAGACAACTCCCTCCACCAGCTGCTGCCAGAGCCAGGATCCAGTCTCAGAGAGCTGCCAACAGGGCATAGACCTCTATGAGGTATCACAACACTCATTTCCTGGCATTTTCTCCTAATGTGTCATATGAATCATCAATCTTTTGCACAAGCCCACATAAGTATCTCTGTATAAACATATCACATATACCACGAATAACGAACATTTAGAATTTACTTTTATTGACTTCTTTTGGGGGCTGTGTGAAGCCCATCCCAGCTGAATAACAGCTATCCACCTATGCTTCTTACACAGGGGATACTTTGTGAGTTATATATTCCTAATTTTCCTCTCTGAGTTACAGGACTGCGGTGGGTTGACCCCGGTCTGACATCAGGAGCCTGCAAAGGCCACTCTATCACTCCCCTGGTCAGCTAGACAGGGCAGAAAGAACACAACAAAAAGCTTAAGGGTAAAGATAAGGATATTAAGAACACACAAAAATTACTATCATAGGCAAAGCAGACTCGACTTGGGGAAATTAGTTTGATTTACTACCAGTCAAATCAGTGAAGAGTAATGAGAACTAAAAACTGAATCTTAAGTCCTCTACTAACTTCGGTATGAGTCCTTCCCATAGGCTACAGTTTTTCATGAACTGCTCCAGTGTGGTCCCTTCCACAAGGTGCAGTTCTTCAGGAACGGGCTGCTCCAGTGTGTCCTCCCCAAGGGGTCACAAGTCCTGACAGAAAACCTGCTCCCGCATGGACTCCTCTCTCCATGGGGCCACAGGTCCTGTCAGAAGCCGGCTTCCATCATGGTCTTGCCACGGAGACACACCCTCCTTCAGGCATCCACATGCTCTGTCACGGGGGTCCTCCATGGGCTGCAGGTGGACGTTTACTCCACCGTTAACGTCCATGGGCTATAGAAGGCCAGCCTGCCTCACTATGGTCTTCACCACGGGCTGCGGGGGAATCTCTGTTCTGGCATCAGGAGCACCTTCTCCTCCTCTTTCTTCACTGACCATGGTGCCTGCAGAGTTGTTGCTCTCACATATTCTTACTGCTCTCTCCAGCAGAATTTGCTGGATTGTTTTTTTTCTCCCCCTTCTTGAAGATGTTATTCCAGAGGTACTACCACCATTGCTGATGGCCAAGGCCATTAGCAGGTCTGTTTTGGAACCAGCTGTCATTGGTTTTATCAGAGACAGGGGAAGCTTCTAGCAGATTCTCACAGAAGCCACCACTGTAGCCTCCTCTGCTTCCAAAACCTCGCCATGCAAACCCAATAGGAAGATACTGGTACATTTGTAACTTTTAAGCATTTCTTTCACGTTCCAGTATTTTTGGGAGCCATTCCTACCATTGTGCTGTTTGGCTCATATCTTGAGGAGTCTTCTGAGTCCAGTCTTCTGTAATTTAATGTCATACAGTCTAAGGATGTGTGTCAAGGATTTTTATTTTTTTTTTTTCCTCTCTACCGTTCCGAGTGACCTCCAGCAACTTTAATACCCTGGTACAGAGTATTCCAGTATCTGTCCCCTAGCCACCACTCCCCAGAGACTATCACTCTGAAAGCAACGCTGAAGTGGTTCTCTGATCTAGGCAAAACAATCCAACAGTTACAACCCAGTGCCCTAGCCGGGAAGAAGTCTCAGCATTAGATCTAGAAGGGATATTGACTTTTCCAGCAGCAAAGCCACAAACTGCACAGGGTCAGGGAAAGGCAGATCTCTCATCTTTCAGGTGGTCCCTGCAGAACGAGGCTGCTCTAGGAAACAGGAATAGCTGGCACTACTTCTGACTGAACACGTCTGTTGTTTTCTGGCGAAGCTGAGCGGATGGAGGCCAGACCTCTCCGTGCGCCACCTTTTATGAATAACAAATTTTAAATGATTTATAAATTAACGCACTCCCCTCCCTCCCCCTCACAGACTGTAAATAATTGCAGCTTTTGACTTATCTGTGTGAGAGATGAATTAAAGCTAGAGATAGTTTGATGCTGGAGGAAAATAAGCTAAGTGGATGATGATAAAAGCAAAAAGGGGCGAATATAACATCAGCTCTGGTGATTAGCAGAAGAAAGGCAAGCCTCTGAAGAATAAGTCTTCCTGCAGTGACAGCATGTCATCTGGGAGGAGGTGGGTGCTGAGGTATACGAACACAGCAGTGATGTATGTGTGTGAGGAAACAGGATGTGGACGTGCTCAGAAACCCCACACCCAGAAAGCACCCGGTGTCTCGTCTGCTGCACCTGCTCCATACACTGCCGGGAGGAGGTGCCTGCATTTAACGTTACGACTAGCTTTTGGGGAAAGGAGCAGATAGGTTATGCTTCTCTCACGTCACACTCACTAAATGTCCAGCTCAATATGAAAATGAAGCAACATACACCATATTCAGTGTATGAATGTAGAAATAAATGCCAAGAAACATATCATCATCCTCTGTGCTAACATTCTAAGTTTTGCAAATATAATTACAATACCTAAAGTGAAGTAGAATCTTTTTTTTTAGAAAAAAGAACTTTGACCAGATTAACTTGTATATTTTTACTTCTAAACTCAAATTTTACAATGAACTTGTCAATATTTTATACCAAACTATTGTAATTTAGCACTACTTTTAGAGAGAGAGTACTAAAATCAGAATGTGAAGATGTATCTGAGATTATACAATCAACACCTAATCACCTTGTTTCCTAGCAAAGATACTGTATTGCAGAGAAATTAAAACACAAGCCTCCGTGTATGTGGGCCTTCAACTTCAATGAAGCAGCAGTTAATTAAAAATAGTCCCCAAAGGTGCACAGAGTAATGGTGATAACAGAAACAAAATGCCGACAAAAAAAGATCAAGAGGAAAATAAACAAATAAATAAATAAATAGATAGATAGCACTATAAATAAATAGATAGATAAATAAATAAATAGACAAATAAATAAATAGATAGATAGCACTCTACTGGGGACTGATGTGGGTTTTTTTGTAAAAAGCCAAAATAATAAAAATAATAGATAAAAACCCAAAACCACAGAATCTGGAACCTAAAAATCTGTTATACTCTGATGCTTCTATCTTTGTGATTAAATGACACAAATAAGAACCAGTTCATAAGACATCAACTGAAGATATAATAACAGATTAAAACTCGTAAAAAGGCGCAAGCAAGAGATTGAATTGTTCTTGGAGTCCAGTGTGAACCGGACAAGTTACAAGGGGGCCTTTAATTGCTGTAAGGGAGTTTTAAGTTGCCTGGACATATGATCACACACTCATATGTAGGTACATGTCCTACCAACAAACACACTGAAGTACTATAAGACATTTCCTGCAAATGTCATATAATCTCCGTCACCAGAGGCTTTAAAGATCTTGCAAGTAAGATGGATGAAGATACGATGCTTTTCAGGGTGAAAAGGATTGATTAGATTAATTTACTTCCCTTTTTCTGTGACTTTACACAACTAAAAATCTTTTCCCATTCGCACTGGCATAACTTCCCCATTCAGAATTGTACAACGGATGACAAAGGGAATAATACAATGTAGAATGAAGAACTAGTACAAAGCATAAAGGGATGCAGATATCCCAAGCAGTTTGCAATTCTTGGCTCACTGCATCTATCAGTGAGAGGAAGCAGTTAATGACAAAAAACTTCATCTTAGACAACAAATGAAGCCTTAGCTTTATTTCTGGAGCAGCACAAAGAGCATTAGGAGGTAGGCTCTCAGCTAACCCCTGTGCGTAAAGAAAGGAAGGATCAGAGGAAAGGAAGGAAGGGCGTGAGGGAGAATCAACACAACAGCCATTCATAAAACTACTGTAAGCAAATGCAAGAGTTAATATGGAAGTTACTTAACGTCATTTGGATAATACATGATCAAGTGAGAAGCTGCTGCTTCTGAGCAAGCACATTAATGATTAAAGACCTGTAAGAACATTCAGACAAAAACTCTTTTACATAATTAACATGAATAAAAAGTACATGGAGAAAAATTCTTCGGAAAACCCTTCTCCAAACTGATTATAGTATTGCTCTACTATAAATAAAACCACATTTTTTGATAGTTTAAGTATCACATAATCAACAGGAAAGAAAACACCACAAAGAATTACAATGACTTAATCACTAGGGTGTGACTAGTGATTAACTGAAAAGAGTTCCCATAAGATTAGCACTAAAATCTAAGATATCTCAGTCAATGCCAAGAGCTTGTCCATGATATGTTTTTAAGACTGCTTCATTCCTCACTTGTCTTCTTCAGTGTACTGGCTGCAAAACCAGAGAGCCTTAACCATGAAAAAAATTGCCAGAGGAATTTCTTTTTCTCTTCAGTAGGGTTTGGAATTGATATATATTAAAAAAAAAAAAAATACATAAACTTTTAAATGAGTGAAAACACACTAGGCTTGACAATTGGAAGGCAATAAACTTCGGTTCCTACTGCAATTACTACTGCAGACTATACACATAAAAACTAGCTATTCCATAAAACAAAGAAACAAAATGCACCTTAGAATATTATTGCTAAAGAGAATCTTGATAGGAATTTTGTCCAAAGACTTTTTGATTCAGACTGAATCTCTAAAACTTTTACTATATTTCACAGATTTAGTCTTCTCTGTTTTAATAAAGAGAACCACAGCTTATAACTCTGCAATCCTCTAACAGAGTAAAGCCCATTAATCAAAATGGTGTTTTCATGGGCCGTGCAAATAAATAGAAGTACAGCTATGCTTAGTATGGCTATGGAGCATGAAAATCTGCTCCCAGAACAGCTGGAATGAAGCATTATTCATTTACAGTTTCTAATCACATTCAGCATCTAGAATGGAAATCTCATGTTTGTTAATTTCTTTGAGTATCTTATTTCATTTTTCAAAATCCCACATCACAATACTGAAATTATTGGTACCATTTCACATCTATAGCATTCTTTCAAAGTGAAATATTTATTACCACTTGCTTTGTACAGGAAAAATATACCTCAGAAAAAGGATTCAAGGATGACTTTAAAATATGCTCAGTAACAAGTTTTCATCTTATTTTGTAAAAAGCAAAAAGGCAAACCCTATGGGTAAAATTTGCCCTATTTCTCATGCATAATTCCTGACAGGCAAGAGAAGCAGTATAGTTCCTTTATGCAGGAAGGGAGGATTGGTCTCTAGGGACTCCTGCAGATCAACACGTACAATGATTTGGGGGTAAGCTCAGGTCTGGATCACCAGATCTCAATAGGGCTGTTGCAATGATAAATTCATTTATGTGTCTCAGGTCTCAGATGTAAACATGAGAAACTCTCATTACCTTAAGAGGTAAATAGCAGCATCCTGAATCCTGGTGGGAATAGTCGGGGCATTGGCTTCTATTAACTAAGCAGGCAAGCTTTACACATCCAAAGGAAAACTTATTTCTAAATTCTTTCAAGAACACAAATATTATGCATGTAAGCACTGTTTATTTTAACATCTGCAGACAACAACAGCAAAAACTACACCTGATCTCTTGCACAGAAAGTTATACATTTCTCTTCATAACTTTAAGTACAGAATTGTTTTGCTTCTGTTCTCCTTGCCGAAAATTATTGCAGACAGTATTGATAATATTCACTCCTTATTTTTTTTAATGCACCTCAGATAAATATATGTGCCTTCAATTAATCTAGTAGATTAGTAGAATAGTAGAAGTTTTATACATCATAGTTCCATTAGTAAAGAACTTAACTCTCCTCCTATTAAAATCATGTTTCAGTTGTTCTGTTGTTTTTTTTTCCTCTAACACATTTAGTAATACTGAAGTCAGGTTTAAAATAGTCTAACTCCTAGATTAAGTGTTAGTATCTTTTTCAAAAAAATGTGCAACATGTGGCACCTTCTGACCATTTAGGGAAGGTAGAAGACTGTCATCAGGGGCTGAT